CCATTAGTGAATGCCAATTAGCATTTAAGCACTTTCCATGGATTATCTCACTGAAAACTTAAAACATCACTCTGCAACAGGAATTATTACCATCAATTCATAGATAATAAGGAAATTGAGGCTGAGAGATTAGGACACTTCCCCAGAGTCAGGCAGCAAGGAAGTGGTAAAACAAGATTAGAATACAAGTCTTTGTTCTCTAGAGTCCATTCTCTTAACCACATCAGCTCTCAGCTAGAAACACTCAAGAGTTTCCTAAGTACTTGCTACCCATAGTCCATGGACAAGCAACATCAGCCTGTTAGAAATAATGAACTCTGGCCAATTCCAGATCTACTGAACCAGAATCCACATTTTAAGATCAGCAGGAGATTCATATGTACATTAAAGTTAAAGAAGCACAGATCAAACTAGTTTTCCTACATCGACTATTACCTCTCACAAATTCGTCATCCATACTGCATCCATACTTTTTAAAAAACAAATCCAATCATTTCATTTCCCCACTTAAGACTGTTAAACGGTTTCCCAAATGTCCTTGGAATTAAGTCCAAAATTCTTTTGCAATACAGGTAATTGGATTCTGTATATCACCTATGCATGTTTCTGCAGCCTCATCTCCCCCAACCTCCATCTACTAATTTTTGCACCCCAGGCATAGAGACCTTCTTTCCACTCATCAAATCTCAACTCTCCCTCCTTTCCTACTGTTCTTCCCTCCTCCCTCCCTCCCTCTAAGCTCTTCCTACCTAGAATACACTACCTCCCACTACCTCCTCCAAGAGAGCCACATTTAATGCTGTATCTCCCATGTATAATGGTGCAGTGCCTGGCACAGAGCTGGGAGCAGGATAAATGAGCTGAATAAACACATGTTTAGGATATTGAGGGCCTCAGCTGTTTCCTTCACTCAACTACAATATGCTCTTGCTGTGATCCTCATTCCCATTTCTCCTTCCCTGTTCCCTGCAACACCCCTTTTTTCTAACTCACCTTCTTATCAGTAACCTCGTGACTATTGAAGTTGTCAGCTTTAGAAAGGAGCACTGCCATGGCCATATGGCCACTGCCCCAGGATTACTCAACAGCTGGATGACAACTGCTCCGCTTTAACCCTGAGGCTCCTGAGATAGGCCCAATCCTTTCCAGAAGTGGACAGAAGGCCCCACTGACAGAAGCAGGCTGCTTCTCAATCCAAGATTTAATATAGAGAAAGAACCATAGATCAGGGACCTCTCAGCAGGCAGTGCAGAGCCAAAAGCTTCCCTATCTCTCTGCCCACGCAAGACAGTGTCACTGTGTTGACAAGATGGGTTATCAAGAGTTGTGGGTAACTTCATATTTTAAATGCGATGGCCAAGCTTACTATTCTAAGAAAACAAATGGCAAATCCCTTTATAAAATAATCTGACTCAAGTTTAAATCTTGAGTAAATCTGATATATTTTCCTGTATCAAGTTTACATTAATGAAAGAGCTACTGTTTATCTATTGAATACAAGCTGTTGAGTGCCTGACAACATGTTCAAAGCTTTAAACAAAGTATCTTAATCCTTATTATCACTTTATGAGATAGAAATGCTTATTATCCCTATTTTATAGAAAAAAAAAACGAGGACTAAGTAACTTGCCTAACAGGCAGGGCTGGGATTTAAAGCATAAGCCTCCAGCCAAACACCCTCAATTGCTTCTCTTCTATGTTTTGCTATTTAGATCACTTTCTCATCTGAGAAGTCACAGACATTGACATTCCCAAAGAAACAGCCCTTCAGAGGATGATCACAAAGGCTGAGATTTTTCTCTGCAATGTAGACATTAAAAAGAAAGTAACCTGGCGCATCTTATATTTCAAAGCTGCATTTCCACATTAAAAGAGAAAACTGAGATTAAAGAAAAAGATGTGGGAACGGCGCTCAGGAGTGCCTATGAATGCAATTCCGCAAATATTTTTTCGGTGTCTACCAGTGGTCAGGCACTGTGCTAGAAGCTGAATGATCAGACTGTCAGTTGGGAGAGTTCTGGGGACAGGGGGTTGGGGGTCAGGGGAGGTGAAGAGGCGTGATGGGAAGACTGTCTCCCATAGTGACCATCTCAGGAATGTTTAGCCAGTAATTTACATAGCTGTTACTTTATTATCTAATTATAGGGAAATCATCATTCACGCACAAAAGTTGAGAGTTACCTACTTTATCTGCGAACACATAATTGAAAGGGCCAATCTGTCCTCTAAAACAAAAGTTTTGTATAATTCAAACACTTCATGTGATCATTTCTAATTCCCCATATTAGAGGGTTAGACTTTAATGTACGTGAATACAAACACCGTGCCATATTTTGCTCTCAAGTATCTGAAAGAACAAAAGAGAAGAGTATTGAGAGCCAAAACAAGACTAATTTCCATAACAGAAATGGAGCATATTGAAGCTGCATGTATATACAAATAGAAAGGGACATAGAAACATTTTCTAAAGCACTCCATGAAATATTTACAGGAATAGGCAAGGACAAAGATACCAAGTAAAAAAGAAGACACATACAGTACTATGAGCCCTCCAGAATCCTGCCTTGTTGCAGAAACAGGATGCTTTCAACACAAGGGCATGAGATAAAGACCATGGACCGCTTTGTACTTCACTCCCCTCATTTGTAAAATGAAAGTTAGATTAGATGGATTTATAAGGTCCTTCCAGCACTAACCCTTTAGCTACTTTTCATCCAGGAGGCCCCTGAACCTAAAGAGAGATAAACATGCTCAAATTTGTTGAATTAATGAAATATTATAATCCCACCAATAATAAAATAAGAGAGAGAGAGAGACTTCACAGCAATTGGTCCTGGTCTATAACCTAGAGAGAATGAATTAGGGGGCAAACCATTATCTAAACAGCTTTACGTCTGGTGCTCCTGCTAGTTGACTGCTAGTAGAATGAAAATAAACCTGGACTTGGAAATAAGATATTTGGGACTAGTCTCATCTCTGACACAAATCAACTGTGTGGCCTTGGGCAAACTGCTTTACCACCTAGGCGAATTTCCTCATCTCTGAAGTAAAGGCATTATAAAGCTATATATAACTCAGATTTGTGGAACCTTTGTAATACACCAGGAACTGTTTCAAGACCTTTGCTTAGATTTAAATGCTTCCAAAGGTCTCTGCTGCTCTAACGTTTAATCTAACTAAAGATGCCACATGGTATAATGGAAAGATTCCAAATTCTGTACTCAAAAAAGTTGGGCTCCCTCTCACTCTGTAAGGTAGTCTTTTTCTAAGAAAAGACTGTCAAGCAGACTGAGTTATAATCCCAGTACTTCTATTCTGTAGCTGAATTAACTTGGACACATTAACTTCCCTAGCTTTCGTTTCCTAATATGTAAAACGTGTATGAAAATGGTTCTCTCTCTCGTATAGCTTTTGAAAGAATTAAACTATAACTAAAGTAATATATATTTGTTAAATATGTTAAATTTTATTATTAGGTGTGTGACTGTGGATAAATCATCTCAAGTTTTTTCCCTCATCTACAAGTGGGAAATACAGAATTATTAAAAGAGAAAATGCTCTGTAAACTGTCGACTGTCAGCTATGTTGGAAAGTATGCATAATCCCTAATACTTGGAAAAGCGCATACAATAATCCCCAATTTAGTACTTGGAACAGAATATACAATCAATGATAACAAAAAACATATTTACTAAACATATCTCTCTAGTCCCAGCTCACAGCAGGTGGACGCAAAGGCTAGCAGCCAAGAACACAGTGCCACAGGCAGTTTTATTTCCGAGTCAAAGGGCTGCTCCACCAACCGCGGGACGTGAGACTTCATCTCCCAGGAGACACCTCACCGCGCAAAATGGCACGCTGGGAGGTGGAGTATCGGCCCTCCGGTTAACAGGAGGCGGGACTCAAATTCCCAGAAACCGCCGCTGCCCGGACCGCCGGGCCAAAAGATGGAGCTAGAAAGGGAGAGTTCGGATACACCTGTCTTAACAGGTGCGAGTAGGGGTCGCTCTCGGTAGTCCAGGACCCACCCCAGGTCAAAACTTTCTGAAACAACCATTGAGTGTATTTTCCGATGGTCCCCAGCACATTTCTGAGCGAGATCCAGAATAGTAACGCTGTAAATTTGCAAAAGGCAAACTTTCACCAGCAAGACCTCTTTTAGATTTCGGCTCCAGGCATTATCCTTGGGCCACTTGGGCAGGGAGCCTTATGCTTTTTTCCCAGATAAGTATTGTGAGTGGCTGGTCCAAGGTCATACATAAGAGGCAGAATTTGATCCTAGAGAGGAAGCTGCAAACTCAGCTCCAGTTCATTAACCTGCCTCCTTCCCAATAGCACAGTCCCTCGGCCCGCCCATGGAGATCTATATCTATCTATCTTTAAAATCCTCCCATATTTTCACATAAAAAATATTAAGCCATAAAATAGGTGTAAGGAGGTCCAACAGAGTACTGATGAGTTCTTCCATTATAACGAATTCGATACTTTGTGTTTTTTAAATATTAACTGTAAAATTCTCTCCCGAGATACTGCCTTCCCTGTGCCCTGCTTGGTTCCTGTCCTGGACACGTGTTCAAACCCACCCTCCCTTTGGGGAACACAGAGCTGGGTGTTTAACACAGATCTATTGGGGCAGAGATTCCCTCTTCTTGCCTATGAAATTGTCAAACCACGCACGCAAAGGCGTTCAGTGCCAACTACACCACCAGAGCCGGGAGCTGAGGCATACTTGGAACTACTAGAATGGTCCCGTGGCTCAGTTTACCCACTTACAAAATGCAGCGGAGAAGTAGCGGATTAGAGTTTGGGCCAGTGCTCAGCAACCCGCCCTGAAAACGTTCGGGAGTGGGGTGAGGGTCTTGCTGACAGATCCCCCACCTCCCAACAAGCTTCGCTGGCCGTCCCGGCCCACTGGGCCGACAGGGAAACGACCCGACGCGCGTGGAGCCCAAACTCGCGCCGCGAAACACTGTTCGACTTGTGCTTGTCCCCTCCCCTACCTTCCAAGATCTTGGTAGCTGGAAAGTGAAAGGCAGAGGGAGGGAGCGCGGGGCAGGAGCAGCGCCTGGGCTTGTGCTCACGGGGGTGGCTGCCTGAGGGACCTGAGAATATAGAGCGAAAAGTCCCGCGACGGGACGGAGCGGAGCGGAACAGAGCGGAGACTACAATCCCCAGCTTGACCCGGGATGGGAATAGGACCTAAGATGGCCGCTCGTATGGGGATAGGCGCGGGGGCCAATAAGCGCAGAGCACGCTCCTGCACTGGGCCAATCACAAGCCATGTTGACACTAACCTTGGTCAGGGGCGGGAAACACTGTCCCTCTCAGGACAGACGTTGAGATGAGAATTCTCCTGGAAAGGTTTTTTGTTATAAGTCACACAGTCTTTGTTTTTTGGGGGGTTTTCCCCAAATCGAAAATGTAACATAATTATTTAGGTTATGCTGCATTTTTGCTTTCTTCTTTCCTCCCAAACCAAACCTTCCTATGTTCTAAAACTGCACCACAGGCACTTTTTCGGTGCTATTTCTCTCCTTTGCATTTTCATTATCAAGCATTGTCAATAATTTATTTATCTTTTTTATCCTCTTGCCCACTAGAATGAAAGATCTATGCATACTCGGGTTTTTGTTCTGATCACTGCAATATTTCTAGCACCTAGAAGTATATATATTATACATAGTATGATACAATATATGTACTATATATTACATGTATTATATATAGTAGGCACTCAGTAAATATATTTTGAATAATTAAATGAATTTTTCTTTGTTCTCGCTTTTCTCAGTGCAGATCAATTAAATCCCTTTCTGACCACCATGAGGCCCTTGTGCTTGCTCCCTTTTTAAATTGAAAATCATTCAGTATATTCTGTACCAGATGCCATGTGAGTGCTGGAGAAATCATTGAATTTGCCCCAATTCCTAACCTCAGGATGCTCCTGGTCTTGTAGAGTACGAGAGGTAAACTTAATTTTTCAATAAATGCAATTTAAAATTGCAGAGAAGCCAAATAATTTTACAGAGTCTTACAGCTCACAAGCAGGGACTAGAATCTTGGTATTACACCATGCTGCTTCTTATAGTGACCTCTCTTCTTCAAGATTGCCTCCTTCTCTTTTCTTTCCTTCCCTCTCAATCCTAGACCTGAGGAAGAAGAGGCATTTGCCAGTCATCTTTTACATTTAAAAGGGAGAAACAAAGAAAAATACACTGGAACAAACACTGAGATATGTCCCACTTTCTCTGGTACCATATCCTTTTTTCCCCCTCACTTTTTTCTTTGGTTTGCGTCGTAACATACAAATGATTACACCAAGTCTTAGATCTCTCATCCTTTCTGATGTTTGAACACCACAGAAAGTAGTGAAATGCCCTACAAAATGTCCTGGTGTGAAATGCTGATGTCCTAGGAAGCTTGATTCTCAGAGAATGTGACAGTGGGTTATGGCCAGTTTACAGGTCACTACACAGACACCATGGCCACATAAAATATTACAGAATTGTAAAAACTAGATAAAATTGAAAACAATTACAGATAAAACAGCAACAATGTATTCAATATGTATACAGACTAATTTTGTGCATAGTGATTAAACCCCTCTTCAGGATTCCTACCCTAATCTCTCAATTTGGTTTTTTTTCTTAAAACAGTTCTTTCTAGCTTTTATGAACATAGACTCAGTTCAGCAGTCCCAGCTTTTCTCAAGCTGATAGCATGAGAGATTTCAACATATGTGTCAGGAGCCAGACTAAATGCAAAAGAAATTACTGAACCATATGAAACTGGAAAGCTCAACAACTAGACTCTTTCTCCTGAGAAAGTATCAGCCTATAATCACTACATCTTCTACTTAGCAATCAAAAGGCAAATGTCATAAACATACTCAAAATCTAAATAATGGCATGTAATGATTATTAAACCATTGCCAGGAACACAAGTATGAGCATACAGGTATTACTTCAGCTGTAGATGATACTATCTGCTGGGATGAAGGTCAGCTATGACCTTCAGCAATACATACATTCATAAAAGAGCATTAAGACATACATTTGCCTTGGACTTAGGACATCTAAGTGCCAAGTAGGGAGATAACTATCTGATCTGCAACTTGATTAATAATCACCTAGAGATGGTATCTTAGTTTGAGTTCTCCCAGAAGCATATCCTGAGACAGGTATTCAAGTGCAAGTAGTTTATTTGGGAGGTAATTGTAGAAAACAGCAGTAGGAGAATAGGAAAGTGAAATAAGGAAGGGAAGACAGAAAAAAAAAAAAGTGTGCTATCAGACATGTTACTGCAAGGGGTGATTTGAGCTTAATCATCCTGGGAAACTTAGGAAACAATGCGGAACACACGCCTTAAACTGAGCTATCCCACCAAAGGGACAAAAGAACTGGGTTATTTAAATAGCAACTCCCATCAATCAGTGATTGGGATCTGCTTTCAGCGGCTGTTAAGTCTTTGGCTCTTCAGGCATGTTGTATGAGAGGGCAGAGTTGCCTCTGGTGAGAGATAGCCAGATACAAGTGCTGCCATTGGAAGTAAGGCTACTGCATATCAAATGGTAAGAGAATGGTGAGTACTGGATGGACACCAATAGTATTTGCTATAGACTTTGGTCCACCACAGCTCATATCACTGAGACTAGCAGAATAAGAATAATTCAAAAATTAAATATATACAAAAAAGTAAGCAGCTTACCACATTATATACCTCATTATATTAACAATTACGATAGACAGTATTTTCTAAATTCTCACTAAGACACAAACCAAACAAAAACTACAACAAAAGCCTCTTTTACACTGGGAAATATGAATGAACTCTTTGGGGACTTAAGGAAAGGCTTCAGTGAGACTGGGGTTTGGTAGAGTGAGGAGCAAGGAGATCAAGGGGAAAAGGAAATTTTAAAAATATTGCTGGAGACAATATGTTGTTTATTTAATGATATTGAAGAAACACAAGTAAAGGCTTGGGATTTTTGATAAATGAACATTAAGTGCACAGACTGTGGTCTTTAGACCTAGAAGACAATTGCGTGAAAGACCTCTGTGGATTGTTCTTCATAGCAAATAGCTTCACTTGAAATTACAGTTATTTGTCTTTCTGTTTATCCTCTGTCTTCTCCAAATAAAATGTAAGTTCCATGAAGGCAAGAACTTTGTTTTTGTCCTATTTGATAGTAGGCACTCAATAAATACATGGTCAGTGAATGACTATGTTATGGCCATAAAAAACAAACAGGTAAGTACTAGGAGAGACTGACATTTGTACCACTCATTACATTTAGTTAATCCATAAAGTAAAGAGACAAAAGTAACTCGGCAAAAATCTCCCATTATCACAAAGCTTGAAACCATTCTGATGTGTGAAAAGCCTGATAGTCACATATTCTTCTGGTTTAGTCACAAACTTCCAACAGCATCCTCTTCAAACAAACAGGAACCACTTTACCATGGACACAGATCTTTAAAACTAGAAATGCCTTAGAGGTCAAAGAGTTCAACCCTCTGCATAATCCATCTCAGCTGTATAGTAGAGGTCATAATCCAGACTTTCAGACAAGAAATCTTGGCAATATTTAATTGAAAAAAAAAATCACATCTAATATGAAAATGTTATATTAGAAAGAAGAAACATGATGCATTGTTTTGCAATACAAGGTATAAAAATTTTGGGAAACTCAGCTATACCCAAATGCTCCAATCTCCTTCACAAATGTCTCAGCTTGTAATCATTCAATGTTTCGGCTGCTTTTGGAAAATTCTGGTTGCTGATAAGCACCATCTAACGATAAGCTGAAAAATTTTTTTTTAAATTTTCCTCTACCTTTTTTAATTCACTCATTTATTCCTTTGTTGTTCTGTATTAAATGTAGTCCTTGGGTAGATTTGTTCATCAGATATTTAGAGATCAGTCTATTCCCTATAGTTAGTGAACATATGCATGCTGTCTCCTTTTAACTCTGCCTCATAAATAATCACACTTAATCCTTCTTAATGCCATCTTTTGCAATCATCTTCTAGTTACCTAGAACATAAGGTGCATAAAACTAAGCTCAGTGTCCAAGCTGTGATCTCACTAGGGTGGCTAAGAGATAAGCTATGATTTTCCATCACTCTTTCAAGAAATCATGACTCTAAACACATTGCCCTGGTTTCACTGCAGCTTTAAAGGGATTTCATCATTCTAGAAGAAAAACACATTAAAAGCATTTTCTAAAAATTAAAAAGTTTATTTCTTTAGGAGAAGACTTAGTGAAGAATGGGATGCAACTTCAATTCAGCTCAGTTTTTCATGAATTGAGGGTTACTCTGGGTCAGCCACTAGAATGAATGAATCTGACACAGTCCCTGGTATTGTACTGTCATGGAGACCATAAACAAGTTAAAAACATGAACAAATCAATGTGATGTCATAGAAGTCAATTCTAGAATGAGTTGGATCTGCTACCAACAGTGGAAGAAAAAGAGAGTTCTAGGCAGAGGCAACAATATATGGCAAGTACCAGAGCTCAGACAAGGTAGATTTATCAGTCTGCCACCTAGAATGAAATAGGGTAATGGTGAAAGAGGCTAGAAGTGTCCCAAGGGACAGCTAACAAGTTTCATAGATATGCTTCTTAGTCTGCTGTAAGAGCAATCAAGAGCCTTATAACTGTCAAAAAAATGGCTTAATTTTGAGGAAAAAGGGAAAATGCATTCAACAAATATTTATTGACCTCCTACTGTGTATTGCATTAGTCTAGGTGCTAGGAATGCAGAAGTAAATAAGTCATAAAAATACCCACCCTCATGGAACTTCTAGTAGAAAAAGCAGACCATACACTAACATACAAATGTACAATATATCATAGGTGTCGAGAAATGCGATGGGAAAAAAAACGCAGAGTGAGGGACTAGAAAAGTTCATAGGAGATGAGGTCAAAGGTAACCAGAAGTCAAATCATGTAGGCAGTAAAGTCTTAAGGGAAAATGTTCCATAAATGTACTTGTCAGACAGAATATATAGTATAATCTATTTGTGTAAACATAAAGGAATTGTGTTACACACAATTATTGAGGTCCATAATCACTCATCCAAAACTTTTAGGACAAGTGTATGTTGGAAATTAGTAATTTTTTGGTTTTTAGAAACGTAATATATGCCTGTACCATCTAGTGCATAACATTCCTAGAGGAAGTCT